CATGGGAGTGACATTAATTCCGATGAAAAAAAAATTCCTTGTTATTTTTCATCGTACGCCCAATATCTTATACTTATTATATTATTCTGATTTTTTATCATCGTTATACTATTAACAGAAAAAATAATATATATGTGGTTATTTTTTTACAAACCTATAATTAGTATACACTCTATCTTACAAATATTATACATAATAGCTATTTCCATATCAGAAGACTTTTGATAATAAATAAATGCTTTACGTTCATTTTTTTCAACCCATTTACCAAAACGATAACAAATTGCAAGAATAATTAGAGACATAGGATTAGTTTGAATTTAAACACCAATTAATAATATTATCAGGATTTTGCTTCTTTTTTGCTAAAAATAGATCTAATGAATTAATTATTGAATCCGAATCCTCACATTTTAATCTTTCTTCATTGTAAAGATTATATAATTCTTTAACAATTTCGCCATAAAAATTTAGAGTTTATCTTTTAAACATAATTGATTAAAATTATCAGTTATTTGAATAATATTATTTGATAAATTAACGTTTTTTTTGGATGTTCTGATGTTAGGTTATTTGGCATTGTTTTTTAAAACCGAGAGAAAATTTTTATGAAAACCATTATATAAACAATTTATTCGTACAACAGAAACTTCAACATATATTTAGATATTTATGTAACTTATGATTAACCTTATGCGTTCGTTTAATTCATTGAAATTCTCGACAAACCAGTTTGGCAAACATTGGCACGAAGAATTGAGACGGATCTTTTTAGTGCGCTCCTGAAAAAAGTTGATGATTATGGAATTAATTAGTGTTCCATCCGTTGATTCTCACTTTCCCGAAATCCACCTTCCCGAAGGGTTTACCACAAAATCCCGAAAGGATCTAATACCGACAAAGTTAGCTGGCATTAGTTATAATGACAGACGGTATTATGTTCTTTCGGGAAAGTGGCTTTCGGGATTTTGTAATAGAACCCTTCCCGAAATACTATTTCCCGACCCATAATTCCGATCCTGACAAAACATATTTATGAAGTCTATTTCACCGATAGAAAATTTTATTGAATGATTTTTTCCCGATACGACCATTTCCTTTTCACCGACAAATATTTTATTATGTATTTCGGTAAAAGTGCTTTCAGTAATATGCATTCTGGAGGAATTGGACCCTTTATTTAGATGCACTGAATTTGAACCCTAGATTTACTTAATAACAGTATTCATTTTATTAGTCATAAATAAAATATGTTATATTAACTGATATTGATGATCCGCCAGAATGTATTTCAAAGAAATTACATTTCTGTATTCGGTTTTTAATATTCAGTGAAATGGTGACTTATCGGAAAAATTTATATCGAAATCATTGTCATATCGGCGGATTTGCGGAATGGATCTAAATTAGGGTCCCTAGATTCAACAATTTAGCTAAAATTCCGGGGGTCGGCTTTATAATCACATTGTTAAAATATGGACCTTAATTTAGGTCAATTCCGCAAATTCGCTGATCTGTAGATCCAAGTATCAAGTTAATTTGCAACTGGACTAACAACGGCTTTTGTTTTTACAGTCTAAAATGTCCCTTTGACGGCATACAGATAATGACCAAAAGAATATCCTGGGGCCATTAGTTATTGATACGTATGAAAATGTCCAAGTCCATTAATATTTCGACTAACTAAATATCAATAGCTTCTAGTAAAGACTATTCACGATTTGTATATTAGTATCTATATAACTTCTACAATTTTTTTTATTAATAAAGTATATCAAAAATGAAAATTTACACTTATACTGTATAAAAGTTTTAATTTAATAAACTTTTTTTTTTTACTTAAAATTAATTATTCTTTTTTTCTCCTTTATATATATATTTTCTAAGTGTTTAACTATGGGACGCCGAGTAGGCGTACTTGATTACGCTTTTTAAAAATAACGCCTTTTTTAGATTTTTTAAAAGGTTTATAAACAAATCTTATAATTGAGAAGTTGGTTGGTTCCAAATATTTAAATATATAAAATGTATATTTTATATATGAAAATTTTAAGGCTAACTTTCGATTAGAAGATTTGCTAATAAAAATCTAAAAAAATTTATTCTAAAAGTGTAACTAATTTACTTTAATTAGGTAAAAATAAATAAGATGTAATTACGTATTCAAATAATTTATTAATAAAAAATAGGTCATTCTGGTAATTTATTATAGGGGTATGTAATTGATAACAGTTGTTTAATGTAAAATTAACACTAAAAGCGATATTAATAAAAGCCAAAAAAAAAAAAAATTGACAGTAATGTTATTAAAGTCAGAAATCTGAAAAAAAAACCAACTAAAACTATCGCAAAAATGACCAACACTAAAAATAAAGACCCACTATGATGGTGCGAGAATAATAAATGACATGCCCTTAAAATAAGCACCATAAAGGAGATAAAAAAAAACTATAACTAAAATAAAAGTAAGAACTACCGTAAAAAATGACCTGTTATTTAGGGAATTACACGAAAACACACGGCACCTAAAAAAAATAGCTACAAAAATTTGAAATAAATAAAATAAAATAAAATAAAATAAATAAAATAAAAAGGTGAAGCTGGCAAAAAGCTGAATTGTGCTCAAGAATTCCAAGATGAAATTTTTTTAAAATATATATAGCTTTTGTAGTACTTGTTAAAAATGTACTGCAATAAATAATAATACGACAGGGTAAAACTTGAGTTGCTAGTGAAATCCGCATGATCATCACAAAAACCTACCTATTCAAACGCGGATTTCACCCTAACCCGATCCACGTAGCGGATTTTACCGGCTAACAACTTAGATTTCACCATGTTCTATAATAATAATTAAAATTCTTTATCTTTTTTTTTCTTATTAAATTTTTATTAAATTTTATTCAAGCACTAATTAACCAATCTATTTCAAACATTCCACCGATCTAGAATAAAATTGTAAACTCCTAAAGGTCCTCAATCATAACCTGTTCCTCATCATCAGAGCTAACTTCATAAAAATCATAAAAATAATCATAATGTTGATACTTTAAAATTCCTTGATAAAGTAACCAAGAATGAGATCTATAATGAATATTTAAAATAGCGATTGGAATTTCATCAACAATTTGAAGACTATAACTAGGTTTTGCTATCTCACAATCTAACCCTTCATTAAATTTTGTTTGATATTGAATATCAAATTGATCAATTGATTTCAGTAAATTCTCTTGATTACCTAGAAATGATCTTGGTCTGTCTTCAAAAATAGATTGAAAATTTATAAAATTCCTCTTAGCTTTATAAAAATAAACGGTGATGGTACCAACACCTCCAGACTTAAGATTAGAGCTTGTATCATCTAAATGTCCATTAAGAGCATTGGAAGTTGAAGATTGAGAATGTTTAACGTTTGGAAAAGAAGTGAAATCGAATGAAAAGTTATGTATTTTATTCCATTGATAATTCCAAAATCCATCGTTAACAGTTGGAGAAGAGTCAATAAGTTCGTGACACGTAAAGTCGGTTATTCCGTCTACGTATAGATCAGCTCTAATGGGTGATCGAAATGTGGCATGATTTGTGGATATTGCTACTGAATAGTTTTTATCAGGTTCAAGAACTGAAGCAAATGTAACGTATTCGCTATTTTTACGTGTCGCGAATGAAATGAATAAATCAATAACAAAGAAATTAAAAATTAATAAATACGATAAATTGATAAGTTATATTTTACCAATATTTATATTCTCCTGTTAACTCATCGAATATGCAAGAGGGTTGAGTAGCCAGTGACTAATTTTTTTTTTTCGATACAGTACGTGTATTAAAAAAAGTGAATAATTTAGAACGATATTTGAAAGAAAACAAGAGAAATACTTTTAAGTTGTTTATACTTACCCTACACTCATCTAGAGGAACTTCACATTCTTGAAGAGGCTTTCCATCCATTAATACTTCTACACTGAAACCATTTAATCGCATCGTTATGGAGTTTTTTTTTTCAGTTGTTTAGGGGAACAAAAATGGTAAATTGTGAAAAGATGAATTTCAGGAGAAATGCGTGCAGACAAATTTATATATATATATGCGACCTGATGATGTCATTCGAAAAAAAAATAAAATAAATCATAAGACACAGATTTATATATCTTGCTATTACATAATATCGCCTTCTAAGAATATGTAGTTTTATACATATTTACGTGGCAAATTAATTTACTGTAATTACTGTAATATAAACATATATGCAACATAATTAATATTAAAACACGTTTTTTTTTAATTCGCTTTTTATTTTTTTGTCAGATAAATGAATTTCTACTTTAAGAAGTCTTTATACTTTAAATCAAATTCATTTAGAATCCACGGTATTATAACAGAATTTACTACCGTATATGAAATATATGAATTTTACGCGTCAATCAGATTGTTGATTCGATTCGTGGATTCAGATAAATGTTTTATAATCGTTTATTCGGCGCGTTTTTTTAAATTGTTGATTCGATTTATGGATTCAAATTGAGGTATATAGATGTTCTATAATCATTTATCCAGCGCGTTTCTTTTAGATTGTCGATTCGATTCGTGGATTCAGATTGAGGTATATAAATGTTCTATAATCGTTTATTCAACGCGATTTTTACTTGTTCGACATTTATAGTAAATAAATGTTCCAAACAAAACTTGATCTCTTTAAAGCCGATGTACCCTTGTCAAAGGTACTTTATTATTTAAAATTTTTTACTTAAGGATATATCATTTCCCCTTGAAAGCGTTAACATGCTAACAATGTGAAATCAAAGACCAAAGGAGAACAAGGGAAATCAAAGTGGTTAACGAAAAAAAAACGAGCTATAGAAACCGTTAAAGAATATTTTTTGGTTTTAAAATAATCAAAAAATAAACTTCACTAAATATTTCAATTACAACAAATATCAATTGATCAGTTAATTAAAAGATAATCCACCATTTCGTGATAAATGATAAAGTTGAGTATTCCCACTACCCCACATAGGTATGATGTTCATTACACCACATACTGGAATATCAGGAATTCTTAAAGAAAAAATAGCTCTTGACAAGTAAACGCGAACACATTTTCCCACCATTGGTTTAACTAATTCTCTACTTTTATCAAAGATATTATGATATACATCCTTTCCTGGCATATCAACATCATCAATATTATATAAAGATGGCCCGCTTTCACATCCATAGCACAAGACATTATCATCATACATAGGTCGAAATGTTTTAGAAATTTGACGTAATGTGAATATGTCAGCTTGTTGTGTAAATTGAAAATATGATTGTTGTGGTGAAACCAAATCCCAAAGAACATCAGTCGCGTGAAATTGAACAATTGAATAACCATCTCTGTGTATTGATAGAACTATTTCTTTATCGACAGTCAGATCTTTCGGTTTTACCAAACTCAAAGTAATATCTAATCGCCAATCTTCATTAAAAGGACTTTTAAAGAAAGCGCAGATAGGTAAAGTTTGTTTCTTTAAAGCGGGAAGTTTGTAAAAGTGAATATCGGCCATAAGATTCTGACGAAATAATTCAAAGGACATTCCACATGGAAGATTTGTCGGAGATAATGGAAAGATAGTATAACCTCTAAGATACCTTGCAATGATTGTAAAGATCTGAGGATCTCGATCTATACACATAGTAAAGGATGCACCTTTTCTTGATTCATTTTCTCCAAAGAAATATTCAGTAAATAAATTTGGAGAATCTCTCTTAAGACTTTTCAGATTAATAATAATGAATCAGTTAGTAAGATTTTTTAAGTAGATAATACGCGAACTATAATCATCTTTAATGTACCTGAACTCTGAGAACTGAAAAGTTGTACCACCAACGTTCACCGTATAGGATTGACAAAAAGATCCTTTGGGTAATGTTTGAAAGAGGACAATAGTATTATTTTCTGGTAGAATCGTGTTTTGTCTTTGTGTTGTTGAATTCATCGCGAATCTTTTAAAAACCAAGTCAAGAGAAAATTTTTTTTAAAATCAAATATTTACAATCTAGAAAAAAAAAGTTTTATAAGTAAAAAAAAAAAAAAAACAAAAAAAAAACAGGAATAAACAAATAAAAAATTGGATAATATTGTTTGTGGAACAAACAATAGGACAAAGGTATATGCGAGAAAGGAAAAATTGAAAAAATTTCTGCAACTGCGCTTATTTAATTGATGTGAAGATATCCATGTGAAAAGATGACGTATCGTGTTTATATTCTTCTGTTCTTATTTTAACATTTTTTCAAATTTTGACTCCAAAATATTCCTGATAAAATTTCATGTTGTGTTATATACGTTATATATGTACGTAACGAGCTATAAAAAATTCCTGCCCAACATTTTTCGCGTTTTCGAACATTTATATTTATTTTTTATTTATTTTTAATTTAATTTTTTTATTTTTTATTTTTTTTTGTATATGGACGTATCTCCAAGCATTTTGACATTTCCAACTTAATGAACAACATTACGGATTCATCTTTTAGTCATTATCGCAAAATTCGCGAAACTCGCCCATCAGCCTATATCAAATCTATACAGGTATAAAATACCCAAATAAAATTACTCGTAATGGTATCGAGCTAAAAAAGGAATATTCCCGCGTTTTTTTTTTTTACAAAAAAAATCATCCTCGTGATTCAAGTTGAACTGCATAAATGTTTATATGGAATCTCGATTCACCAAGTAATTCACCAGGATATTGTTTTTATTATTTTTTTAGAAACAATCGGCAACTCCCTGTAAGGTGCACACCTAATAAATTGTGTTCGTCCTTATTTTTTAACCGTTAATTTTTGATAAGTCCATTTACTGAAAAATTTACATATTAATGTCATCGTTCCAGCGAGATAAATAATAATACAACTACAATCTTCTATAATTGCATCGTTTATAACATTCAGTTTCTAGTGATCTTTGTTTAAGATTTTCCGGTTTTCATATATATGTCCGGATCTTTATTTCCCTCTGATGCATGACGTTGAATTTATTTGTTATCATTTAATCCTTAACACGCTTAAGAATAATATCGACATGGCATAAATATCGATGTATAAGAAAAACTTAATTCTGAATGATGACATGTAAGTAAATGATGATAAAATCTCAATGCTTACTAAATAAAAAAGCTACCAATTGTAAATGATTAATAATATTCATTCACAGAATCGACTAAACATAATCAAGTTTCATTGCTAATATCTGAACGTTTTCCACTATTCGTTATTGTTTGTTATTGCTGTCACCGTACGTACATTACGTAGTTTGCGTATAAATTTTTATATGATCTTATTCAGCCAATATTCAGCCAACTACAATTTGGCATCTTAAAAGACAGAATGGCGCAAGTTAAAAATGGTGTAACGACGCGATTCAACCGACAAAGACGATAGTTATTTATTATGTCAAATATTAACAAATACGCATCGATATCAGTGGTACCCTTACATTAATTATCGGCATATCTGATGCGAGTTAACGCTAATTACCACTGTAAAAGTATTCAGCTAGTAAATTTCAAGTACTTATACATAAAAGGTAAAATATACACCTCTAAAGAAGTCGTCTAAAGTTTCTAGCCTAAATTAGAAAGATTTTCCTAAAGATTCTGAAGGTATATGCTAATAGCCTGTCTTTTTAAAATCGCATGATTTTTCTATATGGCAAAGCCAATAAAAAAAAAAATTTCATGGATAAATTACCATATTTCTCCGACATGCGTAGTTCGTTTTAGGGTACATAGGAATCTTTATTATATACATTATATATTATGTTGTTCATATATACTTAGGTATCCGGTATAAATCAAATTTGACCTCTAAAATCGTAACACGTCGGAGAAATACGATATACTTCACATTAATAATAAACTTTACAATGGTGTTAAACACCATAATTTTATAATAGCAAAGTTACTGTATTTACCATAACTACGTTTTTTTTTCTATAAATGCTATAACGCGCATATTTTCTAGCGTATGACAGATCTATATCTTCTTTTAATATACGCATTTATCAAATATTCAATACGTATTGATAATTTAAATACATGACACATTACAAAGTGCATGACAAAATTGGTGATTACTTAAAAGCCTTGTACTACTATTAAGGTGTGCTGTAAATACGGATACATAAGGAATTTTAATGTGGCGCTCATGGATTTTCTCTAAGCATTGCTTATTATGTAATACAGTAATACGTACTAGTTTTGGTTATAGTTGATCGATTCGATTCGATTATACGTACACTTAACGTTAATGCAATGATTAATATTTATGGTTAAATTTTAAATAAATTCCCGAGATTGCTCTTAATCTAATGTTTAAGTGAAATTTGACAGCCAATTCTTTCCCTTATTTCATAATTTTCCTACAAGGTACTTATTAATGTGCTAAATCTTTTGCATTACTTGTTGATCGCGTGCATGTATTTCAATGAATGATAATTCTTTGGTCAGTTTGATTTTCAAAGTTGTATGTTACGAAAAATATCATGATTTCACGATTACTATGCGAATGGTTCAGTGTTCCCAAATGATTATAAGGTCGCGAAACTTATTTGAAATTATCTAATATACGGATAATTCAATTCAGTTCATAAATAATTCACAATTTCGTCTTCCCTCTGATTTGGTTCCGTTTATCAAAATGTTGAGAATTCTTTATCGTTATGATCTAACCATTAGACCATTAGAAACTCATCAAGATCACCTGATCTCTATGTTCAACTACTACGTACTTCGATTTTTCAACTTATGAAATAGATAAATAATTATTGCTGGATGAAAAAGGCTAGTCAATTGAGTATTCCTAAGAAAAGTCGATCAAATAATCATAAAGTGTATGGTGGCTTTGTTTCGGTATACGAGATTTTCAAAGGTAATCTTAATCTTCTTGAAATTTTCAAGTATTCACACAGCCATGTGTAATTGTGTGAATGAATGCCATCGGATCTTGTCTAATAAATATTAAATTGCCTTGCTTCCGATCATCCAAGCCACTCTTTTGATATATTTACGTAACATGAAAGATAGGATATTAATATAAAGAGGTAACGAAAATCATTTTTAAAAGAATCTTTAGGGGCGCGTTTAGTGAACTTTTTTTTTTATGCGTCAAGGACACAAAAAGAAAAAAGAAAATAAAAATAAAAACGGATAATACATGTATTCCATTAAACGATAAATATGTCATCTACTAATACCACAACCGATACTAGTAGCGGAACATCACAAGCGAGTTCTCCAATTGTGATCATAATAATTGTCGTGGCTATAGTTGCGCTTGCTATTGGAGTTATCGCAATTTTGTATTTCCGTTTTCAACGAAATAAAAAAAGAAAAGATAAGAAGCTAAAACCTTTCATGCTTTCTCCCTCACGCGTAGAACCTACTCCCCATCCTCATAAAAATACAACACGTGGGGTAGATATTTCACATATACAAAAGCATGATGCTCCATCTGTTATGTTTGATGTAACAGAAAGCGAAAGGCGTGGAAGTCGAGAAAAAGAAGTTATAACTGAAGAGGAGTCACTTGGATCTCCCACTTTAGTTAGAGAAGGACCAGGTGGCTTGAGA